GGTTGGTGGCAAGTGTCTTTGTCATCTGACTGATTCTTTTTTGTTTGTAAAACATTAGCTTTGTGATTTATTTAAAATGCATTAAAGGATTACTTTGCAAGGTAAGTAATAGGTAATTAGCCCTTACTTTGTAACTGCAAAATGCAGTCTGCCAGTAAAACACCTGACAAGAATAGCTTGCTTGCCTACACAATTAATCTAAAACATGTTGCTTGGTTATGGATGTATGTGGGTTTTTAGGATAATTTGTTTTTCACCTGTGATACATAAAATGCTTAATCATGTAAGGGAGAGGAAAGACATCTTTTTAGCTGTATTCATTATAATCATTCATTGAAAAAGAGAATGTAATCACATTGTAATTCCTATATTGCCTAAAATACTTTGGTGGGGTATATAAGCTGTAGAAAAAAATCTACAGTAGAAAGAACTTAAAAAGAACATAGAGAGAACATAGAATAAAGAAGGAAGCCATCAAGAGTGTGTCTTTTTCTATCAACCCCTTCAAATAGAATGAAGAATACAGAGTAATAATGAAGGAAACCATAAAGAGACTGTGTGATTGGCTTTTCCTTTATGTCCTCAGACAAAAATTTCCAGTATGTAACCAACTGCAATGGATTCCCTTTGAGACCTGCATTAGGGGCTCAGTACATATTCTGGTCAATCTCTGGAAGGGTAAAAGCAACCCTATTTGGGCCCCTTCTACCTAACTTAGATAAAGAAAAAACTGACATCTTTAAGAATGTCATTTATAACATAGTTTCTGTCATTTATAACATAACTTGCATGTTTTTAAAGACATCCTGACATTTAGTCTATCAGGCAAATCACAAGAAAAATATAAATATAAATTGTTTTGTGTTCAGAATCAAAGCTGCAGCAAAAATCCAATGATGCAACAGATGTCCACACTGCCAGAACATGTTAAAATCAACCTTCATCTCTTTTAATTTATTTTTGGTTGATGTGATTTCATATATTTTATTGTTGGTAATTTTTATGGTTGATGGGATCAGCTAAAGGACCCAATGATATATCACATGGGCTCTAGGATATGAACTTCTTGGAAAAATTAAAATTTTGTCATTGTTGGGCTTCAGTGTTGGATTACAACATGACTTCTTGAGTTCTTGATTTTTCACACTTGCCTTCCATTTTCTGTTTATCAAACCACTCTTTTCATTCTCTAATGTTTGGAAGGGTATTTGGCTTACATTTAAAATTACATTAAAGTCATTTTAATATTATATTCAAATGAGGATGCCATATCATTCCATGGAACTCTGAGCCTGTCTTTACCTCCTTGCTGGATGCCCAGCCAGAAGCTTAGGAGTTTGCAGTGCTTTCTGTTGACTGAGTACCTGAGTGGCTTCATGTTCTGTGATTTCCTTTCAGTTTGGTAAGTAATTGGTCCAAATTTTTCCACTTTTGCTTTCTGAATTTCCTCCTTTACCCGTCCCTTTTATTCATACACTGTTTTTCCTGCTCTCTTCTCATTCTTAAATTTCCCTTTGATTTTCCCTCCCATCTACTTTTCTTTCTCTCCTTCCTCCCCTTATTCCTTTCTTTCCTCTATCCTTCCCCTTTCCCTTCTGTCCTTTTTCTTCATTCCACAATAGTTCCTTTCCCACTCATTTAGCTTTGATGTTTTCTGTTAATACACACAATATTTACTATCTCATAAGGATTGTTATACTAAGCTAGTTCTCCCTTCATGCCTGAAAAAACTGATACAAACATGTCATTGATTGTGAATTGAGTCATGTCATTAGAGCATATGGACTTTTGTGGTTTGAAAGCTCTGAGTTGCACCTTGACTTTCTATGTTGACTTCCTTCCTAATGAGCTCTCACACTCTCTGATGGTATTGACTGTTGATTGACATCAGCCACTCTCAAATGCTGCCATTCATTTTGCTTACTGATTTGATAACTGCTTTACATGGGCACATAAAGGACAACCCTGGTGATCAGACTTAGTAAACCAGTTCTTTTCTGTGAGCACTGAGTTGCATCAGAGAGGCAGGGCAGAATGAAATCCCACTACAGACCTAGGAACACTTGTCCCAGCTTCTCTGGGTATCTGTTCATAAATTTAAAAGAATTATAATTTTTTTCAGAATGATAGTTTTATAGAGAAAAATGATGCAGGAGATAATTATTGTATCTTATATGAACACATTAATATACAGATATTAGAGGAGACATATTTTTTGATACACAGTCTATCCAGATAACCCGAGCTATCCAAACTTTCAGAGATACAACTGTCTCTGTCTACCATGTCAGGGATTAAAGGTGAATGATTCCACACTCAGATTAGAAAAAGACATTTTAAATATCAGTGTTGTATTATTATATATCTGAATTTAAAGATTTGCATGATATTGAACTCTTTTCAATTATAGGTGCCTGTGGGGACATTTTGATGACAACATTCATCTTCCATGGGAATTTCAGGAGGAGAGAGGGTTTCTGTCAGCTGTAAGTCCAGGCAGAGTCTGTTTATCAGCTATATCTAAAGAACCACTTGGCCTGGTACCAGTAGAAACCAGTGAAGTCTTCTAAACTGCTGTTTCCCTGGGTAACCACATGGGCATCCAGAGTTACTGATCAGTTCACTGGCAGTGGATGTGGGTCAGAGTTCACTATCACCATCATCAGTGTACATGATGAAGACCTGGAAGATTATTACCTTTTAGCAGCATTACATCTCTCTTCTCACAGTGCTTCACACTCTAACACAAAACTCCTCTCTGAGTTTCAACAGATGCCTGGCCCACAAACATCCTTGAGCATTTCCTAATCTGAATTATAGCCAGTGTGTCTGGCACATTGATGAGTAAACTGGTCCGACCCTGCAGGTTATTTAAACACAGTGCTTCTAAGCAGGTTGGAAGCACAGAGCACCTAAGATTCATAGAGCACAATGTAGTTAAGTTCTCAGTGTAAATTGCTATTTGTTCTTTAACAATTTCCCATAGAATGTGTCTTGTACAAAAGGAATCTGTAAGTCCAACACAGGACTCAATTGCCTAAAGTTAAGATTTTTGGCAGCTAATAATTCCATATCTGTGCATTAATATTATTTTTTTGGTTTTTCTAGACAGGATTGTCTGTGACTTTGGAGGCTGTCCTGGAACTAGCTCTTGTAGCCCAGGCTGGTCTTGAACTCACAGAGATGTGCCTACCTCTGCCTCCCAAGTGCAGGGATTAAAGGCATGCTCCACCGGTGCCCGGAAGATTAATTATTTTTATGTGCATGGATGTTCTCCATTTGTGTATGTCTTGCACCTTGTGCATATAATGCTCACAGAAGACAGGAGAGGGCATTGTTTCCCCTGAAATTGGAATTACAAATAATAGCAAATTGCCATTTAGTGCCAGCAATTGATCCTGGGTACTAGGAGGAGCAACATGTGCTCTTAATTGTGTCATGACCCCAGTCCCTATATTTTCATGTGGAGGCTCAAGAAGACACTGTACCTCTTCTGTTTGTTTTGAAGCTCTGTTGGGCTCCTTACAGTCATCATTGTAACTATTTTCCTTCAGTCTATGTTTTTGTTTATAATTTTTGATGCAATATACAGTCTGAAAAAATGTTAAATTCCTTTCAAATGTAACACTCATTTTGGAAATGATCCACAAATTTGTCCTCTTTTTACCCTTCCCCTTTTCCATATTCTTTTCTGTTTTTGCTTCTACTTTGCTTTCCCCTCCAAGTTTCTTATAAAAACATATATACATATGAGAATTTCTATTTCAGTAAATTTTAGGATCTACAAACTAGACTAAAGGTGTGAAATATTTTTAAAAATCACTTCTGCTTTTTATCCTTTTTTATGAACCATATTCTACTCTGTGGAGACTTTTGAACTATGGAGCATGAATAACCTGACTCTGTCCTAATGATGATCTAAATATGTGTCATCTTATTGTATTTTATAATATTTAATAGAATTTGGGAATTGTGGAAAGGAAAGTAATATGATCCAATGGAAATATCAGGATATTTAAACTTATTTATGCATTATTAAAATCTATTTGATCACTCACTATTGAATACAGAGTTTCACTTATAGACCATGAACAATAGCTACAAAGTCTAATGTCTAAGTTATTAGGGCAGGAATCAGTCTTAGTGTTCTCTTTTTGTGAAGAGATGTGATGACCAAGACAATTCATATAAAACAATGTAATTATTTGTGGCTTTCTTATAGTTTCAGAGTATTAGTCTATTAATTTCATGGTAGAAAACATGTGAACCAGAAGACAGGTATGGGGCAGAGAGCTTATATATTGATCATCACTCAGATAAAGAGAGAGGGGGAAAGACAGAGTAAGAGGAGTAAACAGGATAGAGAAGAGAGCGGAGGAGATGTACTCCCATGGCACCTGCCTCCTCATACCATTCCACCTCCTGCCTTTTATCACTTCCTGACAATGTCATTTATCATGAATCATAAATGGAATAATCAAATGATTAGGTCACAAACCTCATGATCCAATCATTTCCCAGTGACTGGATACACCAG